CTAGGTGACAGGACCTGAGATTTTGAGCAAAAACTTAGGGAATATCCAAATTCACAAGAGTCTTTAAGCCTGCCTACCCCTTACACATATGCACATTAGCAGAGTTTCACATGCATGCACATATAATCCTGTAAACACATATGTATATAATTAATTTACATGCACATTTTAGAATAGACTATAAGCTTCATGAGGGCAGGAACAACGTGTTTTTCTGTGATGTATCTCCAGCCCTATACAAGTGTTGGCACATAAATATTTGTTGAAAGAATGGCACATAAGAGAACATGTACTTGCAAATAAATGTACACATACAGCTATATACACATATAATAATACATCCATATATTTAATGCTCATGCAAATACATACTTATATGTACCTACATGGTTATCCATATACATATGTATACATTTAGATGATCCACATAATACAGTGCACATAGACACATATATACACATATAACTACTATGAACACGATATATATTACATAGAAATGTTATACACAGATATAACATATATAACACACATACATGTGTACCTTCACTTACATAAATTAATACAAATCAAAGCATTTTTACTCAAAATTTTCTGATCAATTCAACTGTTTTAAGACTCCTGGCCCAGATCTAGCGGCCATAACGCGAAATATCCACCAGATGGCACTCTTTCGCCACTTCCTGTACTCCCAACTGTTGCCAGGGGTGTCGCCAGAGAAGTCGCCGAGCCACAAAACTTACGGAGCCCATGTACCCCAAGAGCTTCCTCTCCCTCCCTTATCCACCAGCGCGGTGGATCTTCAAAGGCTGCAGTCTCAGCCCTCTCTGAAATCGGGTGTATCCTCTTGGGCTTCCAGGCTTCTGTGGAAGGGGCGGACTCCCGCTTGGGGCTCCAGTTCTGCTCAGCCTGAGCTCAAATTCCCTGGTCGCCAACGAGCCAAAAAGTGGGCTTCACTAGGACTCCCTCGGTTCAGACCAGGCCCAAGGACCCTAGCTCTTGGCCTTCGTAGTAATCAGCAGCCAGACTCAGTGGCCCCATTCCCCACGACGCCCCGAGAAAGGGGTCAGGGTCATTTGCATACACATGGCACCTACACATCTGTACACAAAGCCCCCTTCGGCGTACTCCATACACCCTAACCTGGACGCCCAGCCCAAGGTCAGCCAAAACCTGGGAAGAAAATGACCAGGCCCTGGCACTTGGAACCCTTGGCTTGGGAAGGACTGGTCCCGGTTAAATCTTTCTGCCCGGGTCTGGTCCTGACTCTGGATCTCTGGTTCGGAGCCAGAAGGAAGCGCATTCACTCATCTTAAGCAAACTACTTAAAACCCTGGAGGTGGGGAAAGTGAGATGAGACAGAGCCTCTCCTGCCTCCATGCTTGGGCTACTCCGAGTCAGCTTTCCTGGAACCTCACATGTCGGGTGTGAACAGCCTAGGACGAAAAATGCGAAGGCTTGGAAATCCGTAGGGAGGCGAAGCCGCGAGTTCTGGCAGCAGCTCAGCTTCCCCCTCCTCCTTCCCTCTTCTCCCCCGGGAGCGGCGGGAAATTATTTATTAAAACGCCGCCCGCGCTCTCATTTATTTGCGGTGAATAATCCTCGGCATCGCAGCGCGTTTATTAAACCTTTCCCGTCCTCGCATTACTTTAATAATAAATCGCGTGTCACTTTCCAGCGACGTTATTAAAGCCCGTCGGCTGGAGCAGAGGCGGGGGGGCGGTCGGTCGGGGGTGGAGGGCGCAGCAGGGGTTCCTCCTATTCCAAGCTGTGAGGCCTGAACCAGCAGGGCCGCGGAGGGGGAAACTGAAAATATAAGGAGGCTGAACTCAAACAACCTACAAAGCGTGCAAAAGCGATCAAGGAGTACGGGGTTCCCGGGGGCTCATGTGACCCTCTAGGGTAGGGTGGAGCCTCTGCTTTGCAAGTGGGCGCGGTAGAATCAATGGGCCCGCCAGGGGGCGCCTTCGGGACCAGTCGGATAGAGTACCACCTCCTGCAAAGAACAGGGTAGGGGCGTATTCCCAGGCTGCTGCAGGACCCAGATCCACGTGCCCGTCTTTCAGCGCGGAGCAGACTTCCTTCTGGTCTGGACACCGAACCGCACGACCCCCCTACCCTCGTCACACCGCTCACATCCCTACTCCTGCTTCTGCAGTGGCCTTGGAATTCACCCCTAAATATGTCCAGAGCAGCTCCTGAAGCCGCGGGACTCCAGCCAGGACCCGGCAATGAGAACTGTCCTCTGGCTTAGCCTCTGGAGGGACTTGTTGTTCCGCGAGAGGAGCAGCCAAGCGCTCGGGTTGGGGTTCTGGACCACACCCCTCTCAAGAGACTGGGCTCCTTGGTTGGGCTCCTTGGTTGGGCCCCAGAGGACAAGCTCAGACACCGAACCAACTGTGATGGCTCCTGTGGTGGCGCCAAGCTCCGGGCGGAGCCCAGGCGCGCAGGAGGCCGTCTCCATCCTACATGGCCTGGAGAACTTATATCATCTTATCCTATCAGTCAGTAAACAATGTGCCTCACCAGTGTCCCTGGGCTAGGTAAGAAGAGTGTGGAAGAGATTGGGGAGTGAAAGAGTTCGGCTCGGTGAGGGTCCCCTAGTCGGCTTGGTCACAGTTGGGGCAGTTGAGGGAACAAGCTTACCATGACTTGTCTGGATTCAGCAAGGAAATGGGTGGATACTTAGGGGATTCCTAGGGTTCAGCCCATACACATGATAGAACGTCTCCCCTCTTCCATCTGGTTTATGCTTTCATCTGGGTCCTACTCACATTGACCTGGTTCCCCACTCCGCCTGGGGAAGGGACCAGAGAGGCAGGCAATCTATCTCTAGACCAGCCCCCATGGAGTGCAGACTGCAAAGATACCCTCCCTCCACCCAGATGGCTTCAGCCTTCCTCCCTAGAGGGGAGAGTAGGCCTTAGCTCAGTGTCCTTTCTGTACATCTGGTAGACATATGCTTAGAGAGCAGGACCTCCAGTCTCTGGAAGCCAGAGTCCTACTACCTTGAAATGCAGTTTTCATATGCACATCTGCATAAATCATCTGTGCATCTGTGTGTCTCAGTTTGTTCATAAATCTTTATTGTGTGACTACTGTGCCTAGTCTTGTGCTAGGCATCGTCAGTACAAAGTGGCATAAAATATGGTACTGGCCTAGCAGAGTTGCTAGAATGATAGGAGAAATTAGACATGACAAATTCTCATCTTGCTGCAATGAACTAAACCAGGCTCCATTGTGCACTCTGGACAGCAGATGCTGAAGAGCAAAGTGGACTGCAGTTAGTAAGTGCAATTGGGACTTAGGAGAGGGAAAATTTCTAGAAGGTGAGTTTTTAGGAAGGGCAAACTGAGGCTAGGCAAAGATCTGGGACTAGAAAAATAACAGTAGGAGCTATGAGGTGAAGGGCAGTTAGAAAGATTGGATGAGCAGGGCTGGAGGGAGGGCTGCTGAAAAGCAGGGGAGGAGCCTGGTGTCTGCACCTCTTTGTGTCTACTCCACTCTCCCCTAACCCCCCACCCAGCCTAGAGAACAGCAGGCAGCTGTTGTCTTCCACCTGGTTGGTCCATGCATCACCCGCATGGGCTCCTTTGTATCCCATCTCCCCATCCCCTGGTCTCTGCCTCTCTCCTTACCCTCCTTCAATTTTTGTCTCCCACCATCACTATCACCACCTTGTCTCTCCTACTAAGGGCATTAAAGCAATCTACGAAGGGGCCCTGCTCCCCCTTTCCAGATCTTTTTAAGAGCAGGGATGAACACTATCCCCACTCATCCACCCCCATGGGCCAGGCCTCTAGACCTAGTAGTAATCATCGCCCTCTTCACTCTCAGCTTCCTCCTCAGGAACCAGGTGCAGGGACGGCAGATGGGGGATGCCTGTGGAGTTCAGCTGGTCTGCAAACACATGTGGGCAAAGGAGAGAGAACAGGAAAGAGGGGCTGTCAGTGCCGATGTATCCCAGTCTGTGGGAAAGCCATGCTTCCTTGTGTAGCCACATGCACATACAAACATGGACACACACTAAAGGGCCCAATCCACTGCCACCACCCCTACTCCAAGGCTCAGGGCTTCCCCTTACCCGGTGTGAGTACAGTCAGGCTAGCTGGGGCCTCCACCTGGCCCAAGGCATTGCGGGCCAAGCAGCGGTAGGTGCCCTCATCGCTGGGACGCACAGCCTGAATCTGTAGCCAGCCTGTCACCTCAAACCTCTGGGGGCCACCCCTAAACTGGAACCAGAGGAGAAGTCAGCAGGCTTATCGAGGTGGGCCCTGGGCTGCCCTGGGGAGGCTCTGCCCCCTGCCCCTACCTGCACAGAGATGTGGGGGTCATCCCCTGGCAGTTGAATGTCCAAGCCATCTTTCCTCCACTCGATGGAGGCCATGGGGTAGGCAAACACCTCACAGCCAAAGACCACGTCCTGTCCTGTCACATTCCAAATGTCGTATGGGTGTGACACGATCTGGGGCTCTGGGGGTGGAGGTGGGAGGCCTGAGAATAGGATGGCACATCCAGGCAAGCAAGGACCCCATATGCAAAGTATTGTGAATATGTTTGTGGGAAAACACAATTCATGCTGAGTAAATACACTTCCATGAACACACAACATGACCCGAATACTGATGTGGATGCAGGTACACACAAAGGTGCAAATTAAGAGATGGAAAGTACATGCAGACAAGGTGCACAAACAAGCACAGAGACCCACACTTCAGCTTGACTCTGTCCCTGATTGCTCCCCTGTCCTCATTCCACCCTCTATTCCCTCATCCCTGCACTTGTAACCAACACCACCCTCCCCCTTTTCTAACTAGGTCCAGTTGCCAAAGGCCCTGGTTGGGGCGGGGTGCGGGGGGACAGTGTCCCAAGTGGAAAAGGCAAAGAACCTGAAACCGACCTGGCAGAAAGCCTGGAGTTGAGGGAGAAAGTGTTGGGAACCCCGCAGGATGTTTGTTTTCCTGGCAGCTCCAGCCAAGCCAGACCCGTTAAAAGAGCTCGGGAAGTGAAAGTTACTAAGGCCGGCAAATAAAACTTGAGCTTTGAATGGCCCTAAGCCCCCTGGGATGGAGGGAGGAGGAGCTAGAAGAGCCCCCTCCCTCAGTAATCCCTATGCACAAAAGAAGGGGCCAGGAGAAGCGGATAAACTGGGTTAACAGCTTGCTGTAAGAAGTCGCCCAAATGAAACCTGACTGCATCTCACAGGAACCCAAGTCTCCTGCCTGGGCTCCAGCGATCTGGGCAAAGTCTGGGAGTCTTCACTTTCTTACTTTTTGAGGCCAACAATTGGCTGTGTGTCCCCATTCTCAGCGGGTTGTTCCTGCCAGTAAGATCTGGAGCTTTCACGCAAAGCTCCGTACCCTCACCTTCGGACAGCGGCCTCTGTGAACCAGCAGCGAGAATGGGCTCTTATATTGAACTCGAGGCCTCATCTTTTTCGTTCTGCTGGCAAGAGACCAATGCCACTGGGGGTCGTGGAGCAATGCCTCGAGGAACCCTAAGTGCTGGGGGTAGGGGCCCGGGCCGTGCGTACCCGATTCGCAGGGCCCTGGGTGCGCCACGGTGAGGTTGGCATCTGGCTGAGCGCGGGCCGCTTCTTGTAGGCGGCAGATCTGCGCGTAGGTGCGGCGGTCCGAACCGCAGAGCGGGCGCTGCGAGAGGCAGGCACACAGCGGCTCTGGCACCTCTCCGCGGCTCAGGTCACCGCCTGCGTCCAACCGGCACTCAAGCTGCTCGCCGCAGCGCCCGTAAAAGTGGGCGCTGGGGTCCAGGTCGCAGAGCTGGCCCTCGAGGTTGGCGCATTCCCAGCAGCAACCGCACGCGTCGCGCACCCTGCCGGCCAGGCAGCCCTGCGGCGCAGCGCACTCCTCTGGCCGGCAGGGAGCGCAGGCCTCGCCCTCTGCCAGCAGCCGCAGCCAGCCGCGCCGCAGGTAATCCGGGCCTGTGGACGGCCGTGCACCAGTCGGGAGCGGCGCCTGCACCACCAGCAGTAGCAGTAGCAGCGGCAGCTCCAAGGCAGCTGCTGGTGGCTGTAGCATGGTTAGCTGGAAGCCCTGAGAGCACTCAGGGCATCTGCGCGTTCGTAGCACCCTGCCAGGGAAGGAAGCCAGGTTGGGAGGTCAAAAGCAACCTCGCTGTTGCTCATACCAAAGTTCGACCCTAGCACTGCCCCCTCCCCTTCTACTTTGGAGCCAGGTAGATCCGCAACACAGAGGTCTAGTGACCCTCTAGGGGTCATCTTGTTATGCTGGATGGTATCTGATTGAGCTGTTCTTGGGAGGTTGTGGAGACATGAGAGGAAGGAATGATAAAGCGCGCTCTCTCTCGCTCTCTCTCTCTCTCTTTCACACACACACACACACACACACACGCCACCGCAGCCGCCACCACCACCACCAGCACCATCACTATACACCATTCAACTCTGAAGCTTCCTGCCCTAGAAGTGGATGGTAACAGATGGCCCCAAGAGAAGTAAGGAGTTGTGAATAGGGGTGGGAAGGGAGAGAGTGATGTCCTGGGGTCCAGAGCGCTCACCTAGAGTCCGGGGCTATGCCCTTCAGAGCAGCCTGACTCCAGTCCGAAAAAGCAGGCAGTGGAAAGGGGGAACAATCAGCTCGGCCTCCCGGCCACCTCTGCTCCAGCTTGAGGATCTCCGAGAGTCCACGAACTTGGACTTAGAGAGCAGCTCCTCCGCCCCTCTCCCCGCCCCTCGACGTCGCACCCCCACCCCTCCCAGTTCTGAAGCTGCCAATTTTATACGGCCACACGGGACCCTCCTGGGCCACTTCCCCCCAGCCCGAGACAATGTCACAGTGAGAACAGAAAAGCGGTAACCAGACACCGAAGCTGGGAGAAGATCAGAGACGGGGTGGGATGGGGGTTAGGATGGGGGGTAGGTGGGAAGCTAGAATTGGCTGACCGCCTGGGCCCTGTCCCATCTGACTTTACAGTCCCTGAGGTCCGCTAGAGGAACTGCATAATGGGGAGGCAGTAGGAGCTCTGGTGCCAAGTCCTGGAGGGCAAGGCCACCTAACGTTGTCTCCCCGAAGCCTCAGGCCGGCTTCCCAGGGGCAATTGTAGGTTTGTCTACACAGCTTCCCAACAAGGCGCCGACCAGAGACTGGGCGCTTACATCTGCCTCCCCACATCTGGCCTCCTCCGCCTCCCTCCCCACATCCGGCAGGTGCTTCAACCGCGGATGAACTGGATGATTAGAGGTCAGAGAGGACCAGCGGATGCAGGGATAGGTGGGCAGGGCCCCTTATGGGTCGGGATTACAGGTTCTGGTTGCGAGGCTGGCAGCGCCAGAGGCATTCAGCCTCGCGGCCGCCACCAACGCCACCGTGGCACTTTGGGCTGGGGGCGGGGAGGAGAACTTTTCTGGAGGCCCGCCCGTTCTACCGGGGGTCTGCCAGGCCCCGCCCAGCCAGCAGCAAGCGGTTTACAGAAGCTGTGCTGCAGTTTTTTCTAAGGGGGAAGAAACAGAGCTTTGTAGCGGGAAGGGGAAGGTATTTAGTCAGTCTCCGCCCAGAAAGACCTGGCCGGGGGTTGTGTAGCTCGGATAAGGGCCTCCGAACCAACCAGGAAGTTGAGGGCGGGACCGCGGCCTCCAGACTGTCGAGCGGGATCAGCTCCGCATGCGCAGTGGGGGTCTGGAGAGTCGCGTTCCTGTAGGCGGTCTGGGACTCTACCTCCGGACCTGAACTCGTCCAAGCCCTTTCACTTAGGGGTTCCCTAGAAGCGTCCACGCCGCTCCTGGCCAGAAGGGTTCTGATGAGGTGCGTGAAGGCAAGTACACTATCACCCTGGTCTCAAACTCAAAAGAGGGACCGGAATTGAGCTTCACGCGTTGTCTCTCAACTGTCGCGAGATTCAAAACAGGAAGTCTAGGAATTCAGAACAGGAAAAGCCCGCGGGTTTTAAACCGGAAAAAGAATGGGCGGAGCCAGTTATACCTAGTAGTTGTGGATGATCTCTTATTTTTGGTCTTGGGGGCAACTGAAATGTCGACCTAGGGCAGAAGTGAACTGTAAGAGAACTGCAGGTAGCCTAGGAAGGGGGGAAAGGGAAAAGGAGAGACTTAAAATCGCGGAGGTGACTAATGGAGCCACTGAGTTGAGGCCTCTGGCTCTGACTTACGTATGCCTTGAGGGCGGAGTTCGCGGCCCGGGACATGGATCGGAAGCAGCCCGTAATCTCTTAATGAATTGTTACCGCTTTCTGAGGTTTGACGCCAGTATTTAACAAACTTCGCAGACCGAGAAACTATTCGTTTACTCCACTTTATTATAGCCAGTTTATTTTGTCTTTGCTATGCTCCAAGCGTCTGCTATTAGGAGTCGTGTCTAACTACCACTGTATCTTGCGAACCTAGCCCCACATCTGGCGGCATAGCAAATTCTTGTTAATATTTGCGGATTAAATGCGGAAGTCAAGTTTAACCTTGATTTTCTGTGTCGCTGATGGAGAAGGCTGGATAGACAGAGAACCAGCGCCCTCTGGTGGGTTTACGATTGGTGACGAGAATATTATCGTGCATACAGTAAGCGCTAAAGATGCTGACTATACAGGAAATCTGCTTTTATTAAGTAGAGATATTTTTCCCAGGAAAACAGCACATATTGTGAAAATAATTTTAGGAGGAAATTGCCTAAGACACAGTTTGGAAGTCTAGATACGGTCCCCGATCCACATCATCTGACGCTTTATCCATTAAGGCTCCAAAATACATTCAGTAACATCTATTTGCATCATAAATAGTAAAGAAATAGCTAAATATTTTGTATATTCATACTTTAAAAATATTGACTTGGTTTGATTGGGTCATACAAAATAGTTGGGCCACAGGGAAAGGATTCTCTGATCTAAATGATGTGAGTCTTGGGAGGAGAGAAGCCAGATGACAGTATCCTTTGCGTGTGTACATGAAGGAGACTAGATTCAGATGCCAGGGTGAAGTTAAAATTGGTTGAGGAACAGAT